GTCCTGGGGCTGTGTGTGTCCAGCTGTGTGGTCAGTGATGTTAGCGCCCTGTGGCTGTGTGTCCAGCTGTGCTGACGGTACCTGCCTGTCCGCAGTGTGAACATCCTGAAGTGGTCGTCGCAGGGCATGCTGCGGATGACGCCGGAGGCCATGAATGAGCTCTTCCAGCCCACCATCTCTCAGATCGTCCAGCACATCGGTGAGAGCGACAGGCAGGCTGGGGCGCCATTGGCGCAGAACGAGGAATCTGAGAGGTGGCAAAACCAGGCCAGCTAGGCCAACTAGACTGCAGCTGGGAAAGCCTTTCCTACAATTTATGAGCAAATTATAAATCTGAGATCTGCTTCATATCCCATTGACAAGAGAAATACTCAATTATCTTGTAAATGCATAACCTTCCTCTACTGCATGATCTAGAATGAATGCAAAATCTTTTTTGTTGATATACTGAGAGGCATTAAAAACACAACAAAGCACTATTGGTTCCAGTACAGAGCTTCTCAGTATTGCTACTTTGCAGAATACAGTTTTGGCATCTCTGAAACGATTCCTCGATCATCACGTCATTTTCCTCTGGGTCTGAGCTGTGATGTGATTGTCAGGAACAGCAGAAAGGTTACGAACAATGAGGAGACCTTTCGGCCCATGTAGCTCTGAGGATCTCACCCAGCTTCGCTGTGAAAGTGAGGGGAGATTGTCAGCAGAGGACAGCTGTGTGAAATGGAGTAGATGCCTGGAGGAAGCACTCATTAGGCCGTAAATGAGCAGCTGTCGGGGAGGAGTATGGGAGGAGTATGGGAGAAGCAGGGGAGGAGTATGGGAGGAGCAGGGGAGGAGTATGGGTGGAGTAGGGGAGGAGTGTGGGTGGAGTAGGGGAGGTGCAGGGGAGAAGAATGTGAGGAGTATGGGAGGAGCAGGGGAGGAGTATGGGTGGAGTAGGGGAGGAGCAGGGGAGGAGTATGTGAGGAGCAGGGGAGGAGTATGGGTGGAGTAGGGGAGGATCAGGGGAGGAGTATGTGAGGAGTAGGGGAGGTGCAGGGGAGGAGTATGGGAGGAATAGGGGAGGGGCAGGGGAGGACTTTGTGAGGAGTA